CAAAAAATGATGTTGGGCGCAACTCCTGTGAAAGAAAACATGCTTATAAGTTATTATGATACCAAGAGGATGGTGTCGAAGTTGAAACTAAAAGTAAAAAGATTGATTATTGCTTTGGAGGTTGCATATTATTTTATGACATGAGTTTGGTACAAATAATGGGGCATTGGAGGAATGCAAGTTTTGTAAGAGTTTAAGGTATTTAGTTTTCAGTAAAGGCGTTGATCAAAAGAAAAAACAACTTGCATTGATGTCCATGTTCTATCTTCCAATAATACCTATATTTAAAAGAATGTTTGCATCAATGCATAGTTCAAGCCAAAGGCATCATACAAACACAATTAATTCAGGCATGATGTGACATTCATCTGATGGTGAGGGACGAGAACTCTTTCATAAGTACATCCAGAATTTGTAGTAGAACCCAGAAATGTCAGACTTGGATTATACTCGGATTCTAAAGCAGTCCATTGGTGGTTAAATTAGTTAAGAATTCCCAATGGTTATTCTTCTAACACGGCAAGATGTATTGACGCCAAAACTAGGAAGTTTTATAGAATGAAAAGTCACAACTGTCATGTTTTTGTAGAACGATTACTTCCTGTTGCATTCAATTCACTTCTCCAGCATGTGCTTAATCCACTATCTGATATCAATCATTTTTTTAAATACATTTATGCGCCAACTTTAAGATTAGACGACATCATTAAATTGGACAAAAATATTCCTTTCATTCTCTGTAAGTTGAAGAAAATATTTTTGCCAGGTTTCTTTGATTCTATGGAGCATCTCCATGTGCATTTTTCTTATGAATCTTACCTTGAAGACCTAGTATTACATTTGATTAGTTTTTAAAATTAATACTAACTATTGTTTAGTATTGTGCCCTCACATCATGCAGCAAGGTGCATATCATAATTTAATAATGAAAAGTAAAAAAATTGGACGACTTATGGAGCACTTTCTGATGCTGACAAGGAAGATTGGTTTGAGTTCTTTCAAGCATAATTACCTAATTCATTTAAGTTATTATTATTTTAATTACCTTTATATTTATTGACATGTTCCTAATTATACTTTATTTAATATTTTTTGAACTCATAAAATAATGTAGGAGAAATGTACTTGGGATATTAGAGATCATCACAAAATTAAGAAAAAATTCACTCGAGACGTGCTGCCTGCCTTTCTGACACACTTAGGCATGCTAGACTTACCTAGATTAGAAAAGGATCACGTCCCTGTTGGATAGGTGAGGTGTATTTAAAGAGCTTATTGATCGTTGGAAATCCGATAACTTTAAGAAAATATCTAAACAAACCATAAAAAAGAAGAGCTTCTGAAGTTGGCTACTGCAACTATGCAACAAGCAGTATTAGTGTTGCTGAAGTTGCATGAAGGATGGTAAATTTATTTATTTATTTATTTATTTTTCATTTAGATTTTAGATTATTTAAAACTAATTATTTTTTAAATTATGTTTTCATTTAATCAGCATGAAGAGTTAGATAGAAATCCTATTCTTAATGAGATTCATGTGGAGATTCATATTGATCAAGAGAAATAGGGAGTATGTTGATGAACACTCAAGAATTACTCAAGTTTTTTTTTATATATTTAGTCATTTTATATATTTCTTTTATGTACCTAAATTATTTAAATTATGATAACATCAAATATTTTTTTATAGGAGGAGTATGATAGACAACTCGCCATTAAACTATTAGAGCATCATAAATTACCTCCACTGCCACTGGAATATCCTAATGATCCTAGTTTGAGTTTCCAGACTTAGTATGATGTATCAAGTGGGAAGAAGAAAAATGGGATAGTGTATGGTGCTGGAGGGTATACCAAGATATTAGGCGGCATGATAGGAGTTTGAGAATGAGAATGGCTGATGGAGAAGGATCATCATGTCCACCAATATTAACTGCTCAAATTCTAGAAACCGTGAGAAACCTAGTGCATACCGAGGAAGCTTGTGAAGCAACGACAAGAAAGGCATAAATGGAAGAAATGACGAGAAAAACAATGGCATATGAGGAAACCTTGCGAGTTGCAAATGAGTGCGCACATAGATTTGAACAATTTATGGCCTCACAAATGAACCAATGTTCTAGTGGTGGATATGTAAGAGTTGATGATCAAGGACATGATGGTGTAGAAGATAAGGATAATTAAAATGTTTGAATATAAAACTTTGTATTTTTAAATTTAACTTTGATGGATATGGAGACCTCTTTATTTTTATTTAAAATTTAATCATGAATTATTTAATTTTATAATTTTAGTAAAATTTATTTTTAAAATTTTAAAAATTATTGTTAAAGTTTCCGCTGCACAGTTAAAGTTTCCGCTTAAGGGGAGAGCATTGGGATAGACTCACACTTGAGGGAGAGTGTTAAGTATTAACAAGTGTGAGCTATGTGTGAGTAGTGTGGATAATAGTCCCACATTGGATAGAAATGTGGTGACTTGAGCATTTATAAGTGAGAGAACCCATACACCTATCACCATATATATATATATATATATATATATATATATATATATATATATATATATATATATATATATATATATATATATATATATATATATATATATATATATATATATATATATATATATATATATATATATATATATATATATATATATATATAATTTACATTGCGCCACCTAGCCTGCGTGTCTGAGACATGACATTTAGGGATCAGGGTTTGCAAGGGGTTAAGCCTCCGGCTAAATAGCGATGTAGCAGACCCCTCGCTAATTAATTATGACACCCTATTTTGCAATGTGTTTTGCCCCATTGGAAATATTTGTTTTGAGAGTTGGTTCTTCTTTAAATGGTGGCAGTCATCGGTGTGATGACCTCACACCCTATTGTATTTACACCATTTTTCGGTATCCATCCCCATGATGTTCCCCTTATGCGAGTTAGGCTCAGGGAGGATCTTTTGTATAGAAGACCTCTTGCAAAAAACCATTTCCCGTTTTGTGTTCAACGGGGTGAACTACTTGAACGACCTCCGATTTGCAATGTGTTTTGCCCCATTGGAAATATTTGTTTTGAGAGTTGGTTCTTCTTTAAATGGTGGCAGTCATCGGTGTGATGACCTCACACCCTATTGTATTTACACCATTTTTCGGTATCCATCCCCATGATGTTCCCCTTATGCGAGTTAGGCTCAGGGAGGATCTTTTGTATAGAAGACCTCTTGCAAAAAACCATTTCCCGTTTTGTGTTCAACGGGGTGAACTACTTGAACGACCTCCGATTTGTTGTGAACGAAGCTTTCTCCTAATGGGTGGTTGATCCATATGTCCTTTTTTGTTTGTCGAATTATGGTTTTGATACTCCCTTCTCTTTTGCATCCATCGACCTCTTCTCTGCATTACTTTCCCCTCTTAATGTAACATTCTTCTCACACCATTATCTCCTTCATTATTGTCGATGATTTCTAGATTAGGGACTCATTAAAGTTCTGCCTTGAGACCATTTTGTAAGGCCCCTAAAAATATTTCATGATTAGGATGGGCAACCTTGATAGTTTCATCATTAAAACAAGCCAAGTACTCTAGCGACGACTATTGTTGTCATTGGTGGACATTGAAAAGGCTAGTGGTTGACATATTCCTGTGTTTGCTAGCAGAGAATTGTTATCCTAATAGCTGGTTATAGAGAATATAAGAAGGCTCATGTACAAGTGTAAGACAACATCCTTCAACTTTCCCATCATCAACATGCATTTCAGTGAGTTAGCAGCTCTGATGATGGCTCTCTGAGTGTAGATCATTATGATGCGCTTCAATAAGTCACTATTTCCGTCGAAAGTGGTCAATTGAGGCAACTTAAAATTATCTAGGACTTGATCGTCCTAAATTTCCACCGTTAGAGGTTGTGGATCGCTCGAGTCTTCAAAGTCATTGTCTTCTGGTTGAGGATGATGTTGATTTTATTGCAAGGCTTGCACGGTGCTCTGCAATAGCTCGTTTTGGTGGCGTAGGTCTTCAACGGTGGCGAGTAGTTCCTTCATGGCAGTTTGTGATCCATGAATGTTACTGCTTGCTCTTATCATGTAAGACTGAAGAGTTCAATAACTTGTAATCTTATGCACCCCAAATAAGTTTTACTAAAGCCTCATGGCGGGTGTCGAATGTTAACACAAGAACACTAGTTGTATAACTCCTCTGATGCGGGTCAAAAAGAGTCACAATAGATGACTTCTCCATATGACTTAATTATGATATTTTAAGTTTGAAGTACACTTCCCCTTCTACTGATCCATTAGCCTAATGTGATACAAGGGATATAAATGCATTTAAATTCTAGTTAAGAGACATAATAATCAATTACCTGATAGTTATTGTGTTAAGACAACATATTTAGACATGCTAACGTCATGTGATAAATGCTCATAAATATTTGTCTTGAATATTTTGATTTTAAGGCAACCTACATCACGTTTGAATTTGAAAATGGGTCATGCCCGACTCGAATATGACTCAGCCCGTCAACTTAAATTTACCCGTCAATTTTTAAAATATTCACAATCATTCAAACATAAAGTTTATAGAGGTGAAGTATTGAAGAGCATATGTGTATATCATATTACTCTCCCATTTTTTAATTTCAACCATCATAATTTCCCCCATGTACAAAATCATTAAATCTTATGTCATTTTTATAAAAGTCATTTTAAAATAAATCATTAAATCTTATGTCATTTTTATAAAAATCATTTAAGAGTAAATTAAAATTCTAAATGTGTACTCAAGAATTTCGTATAAATAATTGTATTAGAGTGTTTGACGAGGACAAAATCATCCACATTTTAAGGAGAGGAAATAAAAACGTGATGAATTTGATTCACCATAGTCCACCATAATGCCTCTATATAAACTCTCTTCACTCCTTTCACTTTTCATCCCAACAAGAATATTCCATTTACTATTTTCTCCTCTTTGAATCTTGCTAAAAACACACCAAAATGTCTACTTCCATTGAAAACCGTGCCCTTGAATACGGGGTCGTTGAGCCCTTTAAGCAAATAACCCCATTCGTCTCGAACAAAGAGGAAGATGATAAGTATTTAAACATGGTCAAAAACATGATTATAAAAGGAAGATCCGAAATAGAACCCTCAATGTTAGACCCTCGTGATGAAGGAACTTCAGATCACTGGATTCAAAGAAACACTTCCTTGATCCGTCTCACTGGCAAACACCCTTTCAACTCAGAGCCACCACTCCAAACCCTCATGCACCACGGTTTCATAACACCCGTTCCGCTCCACTACGTCCGCAACCACGGGCCCGTTCCCAAAGCCCGCTGGGCTGATTGGACCATCGAAGTAACCGGCCTAGTAAAAAACCCAACCAACTTCACAATGGACCAGCTCGTCAACGACTTCCCAAGCCGAGAATTTCCCGTGACACTCGTTTGCTCCGCGAACCGCCGCAAGGAACAAAACATGGTGAAACAAACTATTGGCTTTAACTGGGGCCCTTCTGCTACCTCCACTTCGGTGTGGCGCGGTGTACCGCTTAGAACCATCCTCAAGCGTTGTGGAATCTATAACCGTAACAGTGGGGAGCTCTATGTTTGCTTTGAAGGCGCTGAGGAACTTCCAGGTGGCGGTGGGTGTAAATATGGAACTAGTATCTTGTGCGAGGTTGCACTGGATCGTACCCGCGATATCATTCTCGCATATATGCAAAACGGTGACGTTTTACTTCCTGATCATGGGTTTCCTGTACGTGTTATCGTGCCTGGTTTCACTGCAGGGAGAATGGTGAAATGGTTGAAGCGTATCGTTGTAACAACCACAGAATCTGATAGCTATTATCATTTCCATGATAACAGATTACTTCCCTCTCACGTTGATGCTGAGCTTGCCAATACAGAAGGTATATATGAAATGAAAGCCATTCCTTCTTTTACTAATTTATGGAATCAATTTCTGATTTATTATTTCAAAACTGTATCAGCTTGGTTCTACAAGCCGGAGTATATTATCAACGAGTTGAATATAAACTCCGTGATAACAACGCCGTGTCACGGTGAGATATTGGCGGTTAACTCAGACGCTACTCAGATGCCTTATTTACTTAGAGGTTACGCATATTCCGGTGAGTTTTATTCTAATGTATGATTAGTTTCATCATATAAATATTTAAGTAGAGAAATTAATTTGTGTGTCATGCGAAGGGGGTGGGAGAAAGGTGACACGAGTTGAGGTGACGATGGACGGTGGTGAAACGTGGAAAGTATGCAGATTGGAGCATCCGGAGAAACCAAGCAAATATGGTAAGTATTGGTGTTGGTGTTTTTGGTCGTTGGAGGTTGAAGTATTGGAGTTGCTTGGAGGCAAAGAGATTTCTGTGCGTGCATGGGATCTGGCTAACAACACCCAGCCTGAGAATCTCAATTGGAATCTTATGGTAAGATTTGCCCCACCTCATTTGGAATCTGATATACCGGCTGCTTAATAGTTGACTTTGAATCAATAGAAGTATATCATTTGACTTGGCAATATATTATTTCTAATGATTTAGAATCTAACTTATACTGAGTTCTTAATTATTTTAGAAAATTATCTCATACCTCTTACCATTTCACGATAAATGCCAACATGATATCCATCAATGACAAAAGATCAGATGCTGCTGAGGTCACAACTTCACAAGTTATAATATATAGTTGATTTTTTATTGATTACCAACTAAATGCTTCACCTTAAAATGAAAAGCCTACTTTTAATGCATATAGACGAATCTAAATGAAAAAAAAAAACTTCTTATTGACTAAATTCAAAGAAAAAGAAGAAGAAAAATTACACCACTTCAATTTTGGAAAAAAAAAAATTTGTCCGAGGGTTTGGAAGAAAAAAGAGAGTAGGATTTTGAAAATGAAGAAAGATCAAATGAAAAAAATAGAGATTTTAGTGGAGACGGTTTTTGACATTTCTTTTTTTGGACAATTTCTCAACTCATGGCAAAAAGTTGTGTATCTTTAATCAATTTAGTTAATGATAAATCATTTTTTTTATATTAAATTATTTATTTAATTAGTTAATGATTAATTATTTATTATATTTACTCTGTATCCAACTTTTTGAGATGGGTAGATAAGAATTCATCTTTATTTAATAGTTTAAATTTTAGAGTTTTTCAATATACTTTATTCTATGAATAACTCTACCCATGTTTTTGAAGTGGGTAAATAAGAATTATAATTTTCTTTTATTTATAATATAAATTTTTTTCTAATTTTGAAAACTAAAAAAATTGTTTTGAAGAGTTGTTTGAAGTATTTTTCAAGGACTTACATTAAATATTCAAATATAACTTATATTTTTATAATATTTTGAAAATTAAAAAAAAAATTAATGATTATTCTATATAAAATTATTCTTTAAAATAATAAAAAATATTTTGTTAAATTGTTTTTAAAATTTTTTTTAAAGCCCTAGCTTCATCTCCCAACTCACAATTAAAAGAATGTAGTTAAAAACATTTAAAATAATTCTCCTGTAAGAGCATATGGCGAATTTATATTATTTTGTTGCCCCCATAAAAAAAAACTTGACTTATAAATTTGATTATTAGTTCCTAATACTCCCTAAAAAATTTACAAATATTAAAACAAAAAAGTTGTTATAATAATAAAACAAATAAAGTTGTATGTTAATTTTATATAATTATCCTTACCATTAATAATATAAGAAAAGAGAGAAAACAATTCGTTCATGGTATAAAAAAGCTAAACTAGAATCATTAAGAAAAGTGATTGTGATACCTAGGAAAAATCACATTAATGTTTTATTGATTTTATTTGATAGAATGACTTATTACTAATTTTGTTCATACATTTTTGCTTTGCAATGTATAGGGCATGATGAACAACTGCTGGTTTAGAGTCAAAACAAACATGTACAAGCCTCATAATAAGGGAGAAATATTTGGGATAATGTTTGAGCACCCAACCCAACCAGGAAACCAATCTGGTGGATGGATGGTCAAAGAAAAAGAGCAAGCATATCACAAATCATCAAACTCTCACCCAACCAAAAAGATCAATGTTTCCTCGTCACTGCGCACAAACAATACTAGTCCTACTACTACCTCAAAAATATTCACTATCTCTGAGGTGAAAAAACATAATAACTCTGATTCTGCTTGGATCATCATAGATGGTCACGTTTATGATTGCACTCACTACCTCAAAGACCACCCCGGTGGTGCCGATAGCATCCTCATCAACGCCGGCACTGATTGTACAGAAGAGTTTCAAGCCATCCATTCTGATAAAGCAAAGAAAATGCTTGATGATTACTTAATCGGCGTGATTGTAGCCACGGACGGCGATGACACCGGCAAAGTTCTTGTTACACAAATGCATAACAATGTGGCTTTAACAAACCCACGAGAGAAAATCCCATGTAAGCTTGTGTCAAAAACATCAATCTCCCACAATGTTAGGATCTTCCGGTTTGCTTTACCTTATGAGGACCAACCATTGGGTTTACCAGTTGGGAAGCACTTATTTTTATGTGACACTATTGAAGATAAGTTATGCATGCGAGCTTTCACTCCTACAAGCAAAGTAGATGAAAAGGGATATTTTGATCTATTGGTTAAAATTTATTTCAAAGGAGTGCATCCAAAGTTTCCAAATGGTGGCATTATGTCTCAACATTTGGATTCATTGCCTATTGGATCAGTTTTTGATATAAAGGGTCCATTGGGACATATTGAGTATACTGGTAAAGGAAATTTTCTTGTTCGTGGAAAATATAAGTTTGCAAAGAAGTTAGCAATGTTGGCTGGTGGAACTGGGATAACACCGATTTACCAAGTGATTCAAGCGATAGTAGAAGATCCAGAAGATCTCACTGAAATGCATGTTGTGTATGGTAATCAAAGTGAGGATGATATATTGCTAAGAGAAGAGTTGGATGCTTGGGCTGAGAAATATGAACGGTTCAAAGTGTGGTACGTGGTACAAGAAAGTAAAAGAGAATATTGGGAGTATAGTGTAGGGTTCATGACGGAAAGTATATTGAAGAAGCATGTTCCAGGAGCATCAGAGGATACAGTGGCATTGGCATGTGGAACACCACCCATGATTCATGGGGTGCAATCACATTTGGAGAAATTGGGATATGATATCAACAACAACTTGCTTGTGTTTTAGGGTGTACTGATGAGTATTAAAGCATCGATATATAGGCTGTATTTATGGATAGTTGTATATACTTTGTTGCATTTAGTTAAATAATTACACATGTTTGACAAAAAAAAATAATACTTACACATGTATTTAATGTATTGTATTAAGAAAATTCCACCATGTATTATTATTTCAAGGAATTGCAAATGATATTAGTATATTACTTTTATATATGTTTTTACCTAGTTAACCATTCATCTAGCATCATTTGCTAAAGGAACTTGAATACCCATTTAGCAACATGAATACCCATCGAATATAGCTTATATGTTTGTACTCTATATATATCAATGTGGACTGGACCGAGTGTATCTGGAATGAGGATCTTCCTCCTGCTAAATCCTTTCTGACTTGGAGATTGAAGCATGAGAAGGTACCCACTGATGATCTCATGCAAGAGAGATTGTAATTTGGCTTCAATGTGCGGCATTTGCGGGTCTGGTCAAGATTCAAGAAACAACTGATCATGTTTTCTTCCTTTGTCCATATGCTATTAGAATTTGGATGTGGCTTGGCAGGACCCTTAATGCTTCATTTCTCGTAGTTTCCAAAGATGATGTTTGGTCCCTTTGCAATAAGAGCAAGTCCTTTTAAGCTCTACTTGTTATCAAAGCAATTATTGTATTGTGCAAGGTTTTATTATAGGTTTACTCCTATACACACATCTTGTGGTGATATATTTATAGAAAGACATATTAAGCGCAGGATGACTATTGATTATCTTTAAGGGACGACTCTGATCCGCCGCCCTCCATTAAGGACCGCCTCACCCTAAATATTTTCTACTGGCCTAATTGTAGAAAACACGTCGTTGGAAACAGGGGAGAAGTTGTTCTTCGGGAAAAGAAAAGTCAAAGTCAACAGTCAACAGTCCATCATTGATTGAGGAGGAGGTTATCATTCCCAAGGAAACCCTAGGCCCAAAATATCTCTATAAACAGTTCTTCTCTAACGGGAGAGAATAGCATATCATAACTTACCAAACATAAACACAAAGTCTTTCACTTCACGTGAGTTGACCCCTTCACATCACCATAAACACCACTAAACAAGGTCTCTCCCCGCTTGTTAAGCGTAAATTTTGACTTAAATTGAACCATCTTTCTTGGCATTTTTTCAACTCATTTCTCATGTTTTAATGAATTTATTTCTTGTTCTTGTGTGATTCTTCAACATATTGCAAATACCTTTGGATTCTTTAATGTGTGTGCTATTGTGTAGGATATAAGCATAAAATATCAATGATTAAAACACAAATGATTGGACAAGGAAGTCAAAGAAATGAAGAAGAATCAACATGTTCATTGTGCGAACACCAATGAGGTAAAAGTGAATGTTCGATGTGCGAGCTCCTGGTGAAGCCCCAGGGAACCATCTCAGATCAGAGGCAGTAAGAAAAAAAACCAAAGTTCGTTGTGCAAACTTGTAGCAAAGAAGTGTTCGCACTGCGAACTCAGATGTTTTCCAAGAGCGGTTTAACTGTTCCTGAGGCACTTGAAGTGCCTAAAAGTGTTCTTCGTTGTGCAAAGAAGGTGTTCGCTAGACGAACATGACAATTTTTGTAACACTCTATATGTACTTTCTCTTTTTTAAAAGATAACTTATATAATATATATTTTGAGGATCAGAACTTTATCTATCTTCATTCCAAGCATATTCTAGAGAGAGAAACACAAACCCTAAGAGGGAGAATCACAAATCGAAGCAACTCAGAGCTTAATCTTTGAGTAAGTGTTTCGATTTCTTGTTGGGTTTGAATGTAATCTATTAATAACTTATGTATTTCATCTAGTCTATGTATTGTGAACTAGTTTTGATTCAACATTGATGTTGTCTTTGATTTCTTATTTGTGGGTCTTGACAAAATATTTTCAAATCTTAAATCTTAGATATTCATCTATCAATGAGCAAACTTTTGACATAGTATCTTAAGTTGATATTCACTAGTATCTTTGTTTTTATTGTGTTGATTATTAGCATGAGTAGCGATCAATAAGATATTGTGAGGGTGTGTGATAATAGAGATGGGAAACTATGTTCACTTACATTTAGAAAATTAGTTGAATACATGTAAAAAGGGTTAAGCGTATGTACGTATTATGATCATGCTGTTTTATATGAATCAATCATGGATCTGATATGGATGTTATCCTTGTTTACTTGTTTATACATTGATTTAAACCTCTATAAAAAATATACTTTTCAGATCTGGATCTAGGATGATTATTTGTTAGGTTCTAGACTCTAGACATAGATTTAGCCTTAACATTTGCTTAAATATCAGTTCTTAATACTCTATATTGTTGAGTTACGTGGGACATCACCAATGAGACAATATGGTTGTTCTCTCGATGTTGCGTAAGACATAACCGCTGTTGCAGGTGATACGTAAGGATATTAGACGAATGATTGATTTATATTTAACTGGTCACAAGAATGCATGTGTTATCAATGATGAGATCTAATCCTAAAAAGGCTCCATTTATTTTAAAGTCTTTACTTTATATTTTCCGTCTTTATATTTTTTGCCTTTATTTATGGTACATTTGATCTTTCAACATATTTTCACAACAAGCTTAGAAATGTAGAGACTGTTGAGCGACATTCTTTCCCTCGCACCAATCCTGTGGAGACAATATAAATCCCGGAGGAAATCCTTCCAAAACTAAATTTTTGTTTCTTTCCGCTTTAGTGCAATTCGAACACCGCTACAGGCAAGCCCTAATCACCAGAAGACTACTAAGGCCTCTAGTCATCCCTACTAGCTCAGGAGTACCACACACTCTTGTACTTTTTGACAAGTACAGTGGCACCCACCTTGAGGCCCTGATAAAACTAACTTGGGTCACACCTTCGTCATTACCATTCTCACGACCTTCCTTTAAAGATGACCAATAAAGTTCCACACTCCGCGGTTAGTACCATAGCCGAGGGTTTTTTCAGCAGAAAGCTCTAACTCCTCCTAAAGAAGATACGTCAGTCAAGTATTGGTCCCAGACGCGATATCTCCGGGACTCTCCAAAAAATTAAAACCTTCTTTAAACTAACAAAACACCTAAAAACAATTTTAAGCCTTAGCTAGTTGATTAGGAAACTTCCAGCGTTATTAAAATAAATTTTTTTAGATCCTAAAGCTAATTGGTTAGTTGAAGCAAAATCAATCACCTAATTGATTATGACATTGTCTTAAATATTGGTAACAACCCTCTTTCCAAATATTCCAAATTGGGCTCACATAATTATTGTATCTAATTGATTAGGCTTAGGACCTGATCAATTAGGTGAGTTAATTAGACCATGAATAGTTTCCATTTTTAGCCAACTCTTCTCCTATATAAAGGAGGCGCTTCTCCTCTTCATTTCACACCAGAATTCGAGATTTGTCTTATTCTTTGCAATAATTACTCTTTAATCCCTCTTTCTCTAAATATTTTCTTTTCACAAATGTGCCTTGTGAGTGAAATATGCTTATGAGGAAAGAGTTGTATTCATGTCTTGTCATTGTTATCATTTTCAAGAGTGTGATGTTCTTCGAAGAGTTGAGTTTGTTTATTGAGATTAAACATTCTTAAAATATTCGTTTGGTTCAAGAACTTAGCCTGAAAAAGTTATGTTTAGTTATTGAGATTAACCTGTAAAATCTTTAATCAGTTCATTAGTTCAACATTTGGAAAGGTTTTCTTTTGGTTGGGGATAAGCTAGTGAAATATCTCTAGTTGTGGTTGTATAGAAAGTTCTTGCGTATAACCTGTAAAATCTTAATATTATAGTAAAATCTTAAGAAGATCTCTTGGAGACAGGAGTAGACCAATGTTCGGACAAACTTAGATAATGCGTTGGTGTCATTTCTCTAACCCTTATCTTTTGATTTCTACTATTATTTTCGTAAATTCGTAAAATTATTCTGACTACAATTTTGGGCATTATGCAAAATGAAATGCATGTCATGTTATGCAGATGATGCAGATGTTATGATAATTGTATTAATTCGGCGGTTCAGGGACAAAATTGGGGTATGACAAGTTCCATCAAAATAAGAGGATTTTTTTTATTATGAATGAAACCAAACCTTGAAAAACCCTCCACACATAAATCCCTTTATTTCTCGGTCATTCGTTTTCTATTTTCAAAGTCTTCTCCACCCTTTTCCTTCAAACTCTCAAACAAAATCCTTAGAATACTAATGTAGTATGTATTTTTTTCTCACTAATTTACCCTTATTTATTGTTTTTTAATTTATATAAATATTTCACTACCTATTATTAATAAAATTATTTTAATAAAAATAATTTGTTTTATCATTGAAATCAATACAATTAATTATTATCTTAAGAAGTTTGAGAACCTCAGAGAAAACACCTAATATGAGACCGTTGAAATATTATCGAATAATAAAATTGTTAAAAATTAATTAATGCTACATTAAAAAATAAATTCAAGTGACACTTGTTTTTGGATAATTTTTCTTACAATTGAGAGATAATTAAATTAACTTTATTAATATGTTAGAATTAGAGTACATAATAATAATTTAATGAAACAATTGAAAAAAAATATTTTTAAATTGAAAAGTGATAATAACATTTAATTTAAAACAAATTTTATTTGTAAAATGACATTTATTTTAAAAGATAAGGAGTATAAAATTTATATTATCAATTATTCTCCCATGCACAAAATTTATCATGGTAGGAATTAAGATAAAAGATAGTTGTCATGTTAAGTCAGTGTTAAAGTACTTGACAGTAAACTTGATCTACAAGTTAACTATTTTATCTTCAACATAAATTACACCATCACTATAGTACATGTAATGTAGAGTAGTATAACACAATAAAAGTTAGTTATCATTAATAGTTTGTTTGCTGAACTTAGGTAGGATTCGTAACTTTTATAAATAGTCATCTGTAACTAACTTGGAGTTTTATCAATGATCATTTACACACTTGATTTTACATTCGCTT